AAGTAAGGAATGCACTTTTCTCTGTACTTATACTCTAGTGCAGGGGTGTCATTCGCATCATCACGTGACATATTGTGACTTTTCCCTTCACTAAAACGGGTGTGGCAAGTACATGACACATCCGGACCATGAGTTTGACATCCTTGCTCTAGTGGCTTGCCCTATCAATGTTGGTGGGAATGGTTTTGGAGATTCTTTGATTGGGCTGATCATGTATAGCAATGTGTGATGGCTGCTTTTTAAAAATTCTGAAGGGTAAAGCAATCTAGGATACTAATTTTCAATATTAAGTTATCTGTAGGTTGCTGTTTTCAAAGCAGACCAGGAGTTGATTCAGACAAAAGTAATTTCTCCTTATATGAATGAAAGGGGCACTTGGGCCATGTGGTAAGCAGGACATTCTTTTATCTTCAAAATATTTGAGTTCTGGTCTCCTTAATTGCACAGCTAGTACAAATATGAATTATATTATAAAACATGGCATATCCTCAAATCATAATTTAAGAAACATTTATGGATCATTCATGGCATGGTATTGGTATTCCATGTCATGAGTTATCCATTAATTCTATGGAGAATTCTGTTTTATTCTATAACTTCTTTTAAACAGTATTAAGCTGATTTTAAGAAACAATGGATCCCATTAAAGTAATGAAAAATAAAGATATGATAATGTCAGGATAAATACAGGTAAATATTGGTATATAGTTCAACAGCAGCCCAGCACAAACCTGAGATATAGTGGGCCCCACAATATTGATGAAGTACAAAACAATACAAAAATTCTTAGATTTTAGTGTAAATCACAAGAAGGTTCTAATATAGTCAAAGTTAAAATCAGTAACCCCTAACCATTTGGGCACCAGGGACCCATTCCATGGAGAGGTTTTTCCACAAACCAAAGGGAACATGGTTTCATGTGCTGCCTGCATCCCGCAGATGGGGCTTCGCTTGTTTGCATGGCCCATTTTCTGGCATGCTATGGCCCAATGCCAGTCGGAATGGGGGTAAGGAAGCATCTCTTGCATAAACATTAGAAATAGTGTTAGAAGTTTATTTTTCTGAAATTGTATACCATTTAAAAAGCAAACATTGAACAGAACTAATTAGCTAATGATAAATTTTATTTGGGGGTTCTAAACCTATGCATATGCTTTGTAATTTATTTTGTACACAGAGAAATGTACAGAATCATAATAATGGCAACTATAATATTGACAATTGCACCAGTCTTTCCTATTATTTTTTGAGCAGTTACTAGCGGTAGAATGCTTAAGCATTTGATTATTTTGCCTTGTTTTAAATTACAGAAGAAATAAATTGAACCTCTAATACAGTTTTAGAAAAATAGAAAATTCCAGCTACTTCATTTGGTACGCTAACAAAAGAGAAGGGAGAAGTACATTAAGGAGAAAAACATTCTCTAGATACTAATTGGACAAAAGAGAGGCACGTAATATTTTAATATAACTTAAATCTTTAAGCCTTCAATTAAAGTGTTGAGCAACTATGCCATCGTAAAAGTTGTACATGGTTGTTTGTGTAGGTATGTACTAAATACATGACAATCTTAAAAATATCAGATTAAGCTTATTCTTAATGAAAACACTAGTAGAACATCATTCTAGTAAAATATGCAGAGCTTTACACAATATTGAAGTCTTAAACTGAGTGCAACTTATCAAAAAGTTTACTAAAGATTATAATTTTTCTCAAAACCCCAGGTTAAATCTAATATAAGGAGCTTGAATTACAAATAAGCTAAACTCTTAAAACTTTGGTATAATTCTGATTTTGGATTTTGCAATTCAGATATAAAATTCAGTAAATTAGGCTTTATATACTAAGCATTAAATGATTTTTCCCACATTAATCTTCTGAATGAAATATGAAGGGCAACAGAATTAATTTTAATATTCTTAAATGAAATAAATGGTTATAACACTAACATTTAACATCTCTTCCTAAATACTGGTACTAGCTATTATGTCAATGTAATTTTCCTACAAACATAGCAGAACATTACTGTTGTTGATGGCTCAGGCCCCCAAGTGTATACATATATCCTAAACAATTACAGGATTAGGCTATTAAACATATACTTTCTAAACAAGCAACTGAATATGTGCAACGGCTGTAAAGTGTATAAAGCTGTTTTCTTACTTTAGGTCCATTCCTATATGTAGAATGGGCATTAAGTGTATAAAGCTATTTTCACAGTGTCATTGTTGTGATTTAGCATTGCAATTTATATTCTTCCCACTGCATTACCTGCAAACTGACTCAAAATTTTTATTTTGCATCAAATAGCTGCACTAGCTATCTTAAAATGCTGCTATGTATTTCTCCTTTATAAGAATAGCCTAGGTTATTGCACAAATGTATTTTCAATTATGTTAACACTTGTTTCCTTACTTAATGCTTGCATAGAAATATCCTAAAATTACATTTAAAATGCTATATAAAAAGTAAGAAATGTTACTTTTAAAAGTAGTGTCCTGAGAATAGTACAAAATTAATTATACAAGCCCTTCACTTTTGTTTTATTTACAGCATCTATTCCCAGACAAAATCTGTTTCACATGAAATTGTATTGGCAGTTTTTCCACAAAAATATTTTAGTAAACTGTTTATAATTTGCATTTAAGTAATTTATCTCTAATCCAATTATTTTTTGAGACTTTTACATGAGTAAAATAAAAATCGTTCAAAATAATTACACTACATGGCCTATTTTAGCACATAGAAAATTTTGAAAGCTTTGTACATTTCGTATTTTGGTCAAAAAAAGTAAGTGTACATAATTATTACATTTTAACAAAAACAAATTTCAAATTCTTGATTTTGTAAAAAAATATAAATCTATACTATTTATCATACATTAGAAGAGTTTTCTTTTGCAACCTTTTCTTATTTTGTTTACTTCAGAACTGAAACTAAATACTATGATTTAAGTGCCAGCGGAAGAGTAAGCATGTTTGGATTAAAGGAAAACAAATTTACTGACAAAATAACATTATGTCAATTTCCTGTGTTTTACCAATGATTTAAGCATAATGATTTTATAACCCCCATTCAGATTATTCAATTATCCTATGCAACATATACTTAAATTCAGTTTCATGAATTTTAAATGTTATGTATTATTTTTAAATATAATTCTTAAAACATCTGTAAGCTAGATATTTATACTCTATTTACCTATTTTAAATAAGAACTTGATTATATTTTCTTTATATCTCTTGGTTCAAGGAAAAGACTGCTATACTGATAGCAGTCATTCAAGCATGAAAAGTTCCAACACAAACTTTTATCTTTCAATTCTTCACACTAAAGACCGAGTTCAAGTGAACAAACTAGATCTCAGGAAAATATCACCAATGGTGGCTCATCTAGTAGCATTTCTTCCTATAGCAAATCTCAGTATAGCATGGGTATCTGCTTATGTCAAGTATGTTTATTTTACACGAGTACAACCCATATACAGTTAGAATAAGGAATTTGGCAACTGATTGTTCTGTCAGGCTAAAAGAGATGATATTATAAGGCTTCTTTAAGAAATGGTCTCCAGAAATTAAGTGATAAAGACCATGCTCAACCACATGGAATGAGGCATTATCAATTAAGAACAAACAATACTCAACAAAATACATAATAAATATTTACTGAATCATCAAAAACTATTCTTATGCAGAATAAGAAGGAACTTGCTAACCTTTAAGGCATTAGTGCATTAAGGACTATATCTCCAAATAAAATAAATATAAACACCAGGAAATATTACTATAGGGCTACCTGTACAATTATGCTTGATAATATTCTATAACATTTTACAAGTGCTAACAGCACTTCAGAACACATATTTCACACCAGTTTTCAACACTTCACCAAATGAATTAAATCGATCAGGCAAAATTCTCATCTTCACTGTCCCATCAGCTCCACAGGAAAATATGTGATTTGCTGGTCCTGTCTCAATCTGCATGACACCTGTCCCAAGATTTCTGAAAATAGATTGTCTAGAATGTTCATTGAGGAAAGTATGAAGAAGACTGAAATTTGACAGACTCCATACCTAAAACACAAACAGAAAGAGAAAAATGGATTGTGATTTTGAGTTGATCTCCCTAAGTTTGATCAATATGCTTCAATTATGTAAACATTCAGATGCTTTAGTTACGGTTTTATTATAAGTTTAATTAAGAATGAAAATTAAAGATGAATATTTAAATAAGTATTTTAAAAGGCTAAGAATAAGAGAGTTTAGAACACATTTTAAATAGGACATGTACCTGTCTTACCAAGTTAGATAGGGTGGGCACAATCCTAGCCCTGTCCCTTAAATATTGGCATCTTATGGGAGCTAGGAAGCATGCCATTTTTGTTGGAGTTCCTGTCCATGAAGTTCAGCAGGCTCTCCTCCCCTCCCCAAGCATTGGGATAAGGTGAGTGCATATTAGATGCTTGACTTGAAGCCAGATTATTGTTTGTAATGTATTTGTTTTTATAGTTTTAATAAGGATATTATATTATTTTAACTTTTGATTGGAAACTGCCCAAAGTTTGTTATAAAGTGGACAGTTATATAAATATTTAAATAAAATAAATAGTTCTCAGGAATGTTATAATGAATATAGAAGAAACTGCTCTTATACAAATGAACAAGATAGAGTTTTGTAATGTAATGACCTTGATATTTCCTTCTGCAGATCCTGTAACAAAATATTCTTCTGTAGGATCTACAGCAATTGCTTTAACTGGGGAATCATGACTTTGGAAAAACTGTCTCTGTTGCTTTTGACGAAGATCTATTAAGCAGGTATAGCCTCTTCTTCCACCAGATATTAATAGCTGGTGTTTAGGTGCATATGCCAAAACAGTTGCTCCAGTATCATGACATGTGAATGCTGAAATACAAAAAAAAATATTAAAAGAAATTATAATGTAAATAATATTCTATTACTATTGAATACGTTTGTTATATAATACTCTTAAATAAAGCCTCAGTACTGAATTATTGTATGAATCAACTTGATTTTGAATTAGATCAGTGGAAAACATTTTTAAAAATGTAGGCAAAACTCTCCTTTTTACCTTGACTATTTATAGATCTTTTGAAACCACCTCATTCCATACATATGTGCTAGAGGTTTGTGAATCCATTTGAATTTTCAATATTTCTGCATAATCATTATCTAAATGTGATCTGGTCTCCATGAAAGTCCTAACACTATATAATAGGAACACAATAAAACAAATGAGTCAAAACCATTATATTATTCATTTATTTATTGAGGAAAATGTTCCAATGCTGCTTTGTGGCAAAAGTAAGCAAATCTCTCAGAATATCAGTTCAGTTGAAGGGGAAATTAGAGCCAGGTGTTTCAGTCAATGGGATGATGCTCAAGGGTGAATGTGGGCAGAACGTGCCATCTTGCCACAACCAATCGTCATGGCCAAGTCGCTGCGGGACAACTCACAGAAAGACAATTTAACAATTCAATGTAATTATTTAAAATAAATAAAAAAATATTTTTTGTCATTCAAACCTGAACATTGGGTCCTATCTAACAAAATGAAATGCAATGGTGAAAAAAGTAAGATTCTACATTTAGGCAAGAAAATCCAAATGCAACAGTATAGTACAGGTGGTAACTGGCCATTTTTAGTAGTAATAGTAGTAATTGTGAGAGGGATCTTGGAATCCTGTGAACAATCACTTAAATATGAGCCAGCAGTGTGCTACAGCTGCCAAAAAAGTCAACACAGTCCTGGGCTGCATTAACAGAGGGATAGAATAAAGATAATGTGAAATGTTAATACCACTTTATAATGTCTTGATAAGACCACACTTGGAATATTACATCCAGTTTTGGTCACTACAATGTAAAAAGGATATTGAGCGAAAAGCAACAAAGATGATTAGGGACTGGAGGCTGGAATTGGGTATGCCTAGTTTAATGAAAAGAAGGACTTGGGGTGACATAATAGCAGTTCCAATATCTAAGGAGTAGCTATAAAGAAGAGGGAGTCAAGCTGTTCGCCAAAGCACCTGAAGGCAGAAAAAGAAGCAATGGATGGAAATTAATCAAGAGAGAAACAACCTAGAATTGAGAAATTTCCTTAGAACAATTAATCAGTGGAACCACTTGCTTTCAGAAGTTGGGAATGCTCAAACGCTGGAAGTTTTTAAGAAGAGATTAGACAACCATTTGTCTTAAACAGTGTAAGGCTTCCTGTCTGAGCACGGGGTTGGACTAGAAGACTTCCAAGGTCCCTTCCAACTCTGTTATTCTGTTACTTCAAGGAAAAGTCCCATAGCAAGATGTTTATTTCTATAAACTCTAGCACAACTTTCATTATGGCCTAGTTCACAAAATATGTTAAAGGTATACTATGGTAACATTCAGTATATTGTCTAAACAAAACACATCTGATATGAGGTCATAAGCCATAAATTGTAGCCATGTTATTTATTCATCTACTTTGTATTTATTCAACCAATTTATATAGCTTACATAAATTATATAAGTTTATTCTTGGCTGAGATATATTGTCATCGTTTACCATGTTATCAAAACCTGGTCTATTTTGAGAGCTGTTCCAAATTTAAAAACTTCTACAGTGACTCAAAAAATATTTCATGTGAGGTTGAGACAACTTCAAATTCAAAAGCATGGTTTTGAGTTCCAAATGTTTCAAATGTTGAAAGTTTTAATATATTCCTTATTTAGCATTACTGTATATGTACACAAAAATGGATAGCTCTTTTATCAAATCTTAACTGCATGTACAAGTGCATAATGTTATATTAGCAAAATGGCTAATTCTAACCAAAATCTTATTTCTCAATAGGGAGTTGAAGTATAATTTAAGATTTTAAATCTTAAAACTTATAGTTTTATGTTTGTGTATATACTAGTTAAACTTACCATGAACCAAGCTACTAGAAGGAGCAACCAAAGTATCCCACAGACAAATATTTCTAAAAGGAAACAAACACAGGAATAGTAATGTATCTAATGATATCATGATAAAGAACAAACTGAATTAGTAATTAGAATTTAAAAAGCAACAAACAAGAGCAACAATTCCTTTGAAATTATCTGAAACATTTTATTTTTATTTTATTGGAAAGAAGTAATATCTATATGATTTTTTAACCTCTAACATCTAATGATTTCTACTCAAATATTTTTATAGAAATTGCAGTTTGACAGAACTATATAAAGAAAATATAATGTTTGGAGAGTATAATGCTAATATAATGCTTTCAAATATAGATAGTTCTAGAATTACGATCATAATTGTGCTTCATATTTATGTTAAGTGAGTTTTGCCCTTTTTATGACCCTTCTTGCCATAGTTGTTAAATGAATCACTGCAGTTGTTAAGTTAGTAATATGGTTGTTAAATGAATCTGGCTTCCCCATTGATTTTGCTAGTCATAAGGTCACAAATGGCGATCATCTGATCCTAGGACACAGCAACGATCTTAAATATGAACCAGTTGCCAAGCATCTGAATATTGATCATATAATCAGGAAGATGCAGCAAAGGTCATGAGTGTGAAAAAATCTCATGTCACTTTTTTTTAGTGACATTTTAACTTTGGTCACTAAATGAACTGTTGTAAGTTGAGGGCTACCTATAATATGATGCAGATATAGCAGAAAAGATTATACTTCAAATAAAAGCTATTGAATATAGATACAATATTTATTATTACAATTAATTGCATAGTCAGTCAAAGATTTAGACTAGAGATGGCATTTTTATCCATCTTTCAAGTCTTTCCCAAGGGATACACAAATATTATTACTGTTATTATTACACAAAAATATGAAGTCATAGCTGCTGGTTCTTTAGCTGATTTTGGTCTTCACGCGTATAGAGTTCTTTCCAAAAACTTAGAATGTTGTAATGATCAGCGTAGTACAGGTGGTCCTGGACTTTCAACAATTCATTTAGTGACCGTCTGAAGTTACATCATTGAAAAAAGTGTCTTATGACCATTTTTCACACTTATGACCATTGCAGCATCCTGATGTTCATGTGATTTACACTCAGATGCTTGACAACTAGTTCATATTTATGACAGTTGCATTCTCCTGGGCTTAAGTGATCATCTTTTGTGACCTTCTGACAAGTAAAGTCCATGGTGAAACCAGATTCACTTAATAACTGTTTTATTAATTTAATAACTGTAGTGATTCACTTAATAAATGTGGCAAGAAAAGTTGTAAAATGGAAAAAACTCACTTAACAAATGTTTTACTTAGCAACATAAATTTGGGCCTTGCTTTCCCTTACAACAAGCCTAGATGAAAAGCTACATGACACTTTTAAACAATATCAGAGTGGGAGCCATCCAAATCTCAGGGGTAACCTTGTTGCAAAGGTTAGACACTACTACTGAGAAGATATGCTTCTGGGATCCTAAGAGATGATACCCTTTATTTGAAGGAACCTGTAGTATGTCAACGCTGCAGGATCAAATTAAGCAGATAGGTCTTATGGGGGAGGGGGCATTCCTAAAGGTCCTATGCCCTGCAGTCCTTTATAAGAAACAAGTAAAACAAAAATGGATTGTATCTAATGTAATTTTTTAACTTAATATATGCAATTTCTACTTTCATGTCACGGCACACTTGCTTCTTGCTCAATCTAAAAAGCTGTTCTCCACAGAATAGTATGGTATAAAAAGGAATGAAAACTGGGAAGAATTTTTTTGTACAAAATCACTACAGTACTAGATAAGAAAAGTAACTGATCAGTTTTTATTTATACAGAGTTTATTGGTATGATCTTGAAGAAATTTTAATACCTGTTGTCAGTAGATAACCCGGCAGTAGCTATCAAAGACGAAGAACTGATGAAAACAAAATCACTAGCCGTTTTATTATGGCATTGCCATGTCTGAAAATATCAAGGAACAATAAATATAGTAAAGCAACAAACATACAGCTAATTTAACATTAGGGCTTATTTACTTAGAAATACAATAAATTAATTTCAGATTGAAACTTGAAACAGTATATTTAGCAGTATACTTTTTTTCATAGAATAGCAGAACCTTCAATTCTGTTAGTAACTGAATCTTAATCCCTAGTTTATAGATTGTGCAGGTAGTCCTTGATTTACAACAGTTCACTTAGTGACTATTTGAAGTTATAATGGCACTGAAAAAGTGACATGACCATTTTTCACACTTATGACCATTGCAGTATTCTTATGGTCATATAATTTACATTCAGATGCTTGACAACTAGTTCATATTTATGACAGTTGCATTCTCCTGGGCTTAAGTGATCATCTTTTGGGAACTTCTGACAAGTAAAGTCCATGGGGAAACCAGATTCACTTAACAACTGTTTTACTAATTTAACAACTGCAGTGATTCACTTCACAAAATGTGGCAAGAAAGGTCATAAAATGGGGCAAAACTCACTTAACAAATGTTTCATTTAGCAACATAATTTTGGGCTCAATTGTGATTGTGACTCGAGGACTACCTGTAACTTCCTGGACTGCATAAAATATTACAATCTAAAATCATAGTTAGTTTACAGATTTCAAACGATTCTTCAAGAGCATCAAATCTATGAAGAAAAATGTTTGAAGTATTAAAGTATGAAAGGCCTATTGTTGCTTGGAGAGAATTCTGTTCTCCCTTCCACAAATAAAAAATATAATGAAGATTTGTTATACATGCAGTTTTAAACCAGGAATATTTGTCTACTGTGTAAAAGAAACTATATACAAGTAAGGCAACTATGTAACAAATTAAAATAAGGAGTTAGTTGTCATGGTTATAAAAAAAATAAAAAGGTAAATAAAAAGACAACAATTAGGAAATATTCTGACTTACTAGGTATGGTTTGGATGTGCTTCCATTATGTAGGCAACCTTTACAGTTTGTTTGATACAAACTTATATGCCCATCACCATCAACGATCCCAAACTAAAGAAAGTAGATACATGTTTTTACATTATATTAATATTTAATTGATTTCTTCATAGTTATGCTGCACCAGATGTGTGTGGATATGAATGTGTATTGTCATCAGTAATTCTTAGCATATCTGGAAGAACTGAATACTAATGGAATTCACATGAACAAAAGCCTCTTCATTCATATATTCAAAATATATTTTTGTGTAACATATTTTACAGTATAAAACAATAGGATACAACTAGTTTAATACTAAATGTTTATGTATAAACAAGACATTGGAGTCTAATAAAGTATGACAAAAAAGAGATTTCATAGATCTCACTATAATTTCACAACTGGAAAGATTCTGTATAATTTTGCTCATGAAATTGCATTTGCTAGTGGACAGGGTAAAGAACTTCAAAAATGAAAGAGGAAACATTTTTCTATGGGAGATATTTTTCCCTCGTCTTAATGTAAAAAATGTAAAAAAAACCAATCTCTTTTTTTAATCCCTTACAAAACAAACTTCAATAGGTAATTATGAAAGATAGAAACACTGATATTGCAGTATGTAGGTGCACTTTGAAAGATTAAAAACCCTATCAAATAGTGCAAAAGATAGTTTGCACTAAAATTGGGGAGCTTATGCAAATGATGCCATACCTTTATAAGTAGACAATCCTTGTCATTTAAAAAGAAGAAAAAGAAAACTAGATATGTCTCCTATCCTATAATCGCTCTAGCTGTATAACAATCAACACTGTGTTAACAGCAAGGGCATATAATCAAACCCTATTAATAATTAAACTTAGTTTAATCTTTAAATTTAATTACATATAATATTGTATGCCTATGTTGAGAGCCACTTTTACCTAGTTGTTAAGGCACCAGGCTAAAAATATATGAGTTCTAGTCCTGCTTTAGGTATGAAAGCCTTAGGCATGATAAGTTAAAAGTCTAAATCTAGAAGAAAAGTTTCTTAGTAGCTTAATATTTTGGTTAAGGTTGTCCCAATGTGGAAGTGGAACCATGTTTCTCAATTCATTATTTGAATGATCAAATAATGATAATTGAAAATGAATGGTCAATCACTATTATTCGTACAATCAATGATTAAAAAAAGCTAAAGAAAGTGCATTGGGATAGCACTGAAATTTTAGTTCAATGTTCTTTGCTAGACACACAAACTTTGAATTTAGAGGATGTTATATTGAGTAAAAACAGAGATATTAGCTATTGGATTACTGTTGGGCAATAGCTAATGTCTAATGTATTATGTTTTCAAAAGAAAAAAAATAAATGTAAATATTCATTTGTGATGTTTACAATAGTTGGATTATTTTTAATGGTTAAAAACCATATACATTCTGGAAAGAAACAACAAATGCATAAGCAATTTTTAAATGTATTGATCTATTTAGAAATCTGTAAATATTGTTATGATCCTTAATTAAAGGAATACAGAGCTATAAGTGACATTTAAATAGATTTATTTTTATTTTTATAAGAGATAAAAGGATGGTACCTTATTGCCTTGATAATTAAATCTCATCCGTGTAATTCTGGAGTTGCCACCCGATCGAAAGCATGCAAGTTGTTGAGAATGGCCCCATTCAAACATTCTTACACTGCCATCCTGGGCACCTGTCAAATCTGCAATAGAAAAATATATAATTTTGAAACTTAACGAAGGAAGGGAAAAAAAGGAACTTACAACAAACCCCCCAAAGAATTGAAGAATTATTTTCAAGACAGATTAGGAATTATAATCATTTAGAAGTATACTCCTAAATTATTAAAATAAACATTTTTCAATTTGTTCTTTTGGTTATACTTCTAGAAATAATAATATTTGGCTCTTTACTATTGAGGGCATACTTTGAATTGTATTACATTAAGGAGTTTTTAACTCATTCAAGCCCAGCCAAATCAAATACTATTGCAAAAAAATACAACTGCAAATAACTAACTGAAGTTGTCTATAATTTCAAAGATATTTAGATTTCTCTAGATTTCATCTAGAATTTTCTATCTTATGAATTACAACAAAGTTACAAATTAGAAATAAAACTTACAATATGGTAGTGTTGGGTGGGAAGCCATTCTTCTGACATTATTGAGATTCTTCTTGATCATCTATTAAATGTCCAATATTAAAAGATCCATTTAGAATTATTCAGAAATATATTCATGTAACATTATTAGTAGGGTAAAATGCAGACACTACTATGTTCACTTCCCTTCATGATTTGGGGTTTGAGTAATGGATGGCACTCAATGAAAATGAAACGCTTCCTACAGTGTTTATCCAAAGTTCATATCAACAGAATCTACATCCAGGTTCTTGGGAGCTTTTGGTCCATACATCTAAGGTTTGCTAAACACATACACTAGATTTCAATCTTACCTCTTTTCTTGCCAATTCCTTTCTGATTCCATTAAATTTATTGGAATATTCCTGTATATTGTAAGGTAAGTAAGACAAAGGCAGAAGCAGAGGCATGTAAGAGAGAGTTAAGCAAACTTTTACAAAAAAATAAGCAGGAGTGAAGAAACTATGTTTTTTGCATTTAATCACCCACGGAAGATTTAGGTGTGAAATATATTGGTTTGATAAAAATATTTATGTAATGAATCTTAGATGACAAAGCACAAATTGTAGTAAACACTAAGATATAGTAATTTAATTCATAATTGGATTTTTTTAATCAGTCTGTATCGTAAAATTATTTTTTCTAAAATGATATGTGAAAGATGTAAATAGAAATAAATAAATAGCAGTCCATCTGTTTAAAGTAAGGTTCATCAGATAAATTTTTTAAATGTATGTCAGCAATTTAATTATGTCTGTCTTTTTTTCTTTGATGTTATAACAGATTAAGATGACACTGAAGCTACGTTTTAGCGATTGAGCAATCATGCCTCTGATTTTAAGTGCTGGTTAGTGAAAACAAACAAAGGTTTTCAGGAATACTTATATGAGAAAATGATAAGACCTAAATGAAAAATTCACATGAGTTCCTGGTGAGAAAAGGAACATAGTACAATTAAAAACAAAATAGAGCTCAGGAGGGGGAGAAGTTTAAAGTTTGTTGGTAGAATCATTTGACTGAGGAAATATTGAAAAGCAAGAAGAATCAAATAAGATGTTGACTGTTGTCTGGTACATACACTTTTGTCAGATCCCTTCCACCTGCCTCCAAAATGGGTATAACATCTATTTATTATGCCAGTTTACAGTAAGAATACAGTTAGTTGTGATTTACTTTGAACACTCTACATGGTAGTATATAAATACTGATTATATTGTCTTACTAAAAGAAGTAAAAAAAACTATATTACATAAAATCTGTTAAGCAATGAAATATACAACAGTAGTTTTGAGTATAAACGGGGATGATTAAGCTGTGAAATGCAGAGCAAGCTAAAAACATAATAATTGGCAGAGACTTAATAAGAAGGTGGTCAATAAAATTGTGACTATAGACACATGTTGCAATTTAATTGTTTCTATTAAAACTCATGCATTTATTGTAACTTAGGTTGAAGAAAACTTTGTCATTGCTGCTGGACAAAAATGTAAAAAATAAAAATGTAAGAGAGCTTTATATTCTAATTTAAAAAATATTCTATATTGCATTTCATAAATCAATACATTATCTAACAGTGCATCAGAAACAATATCTTATTATAAAATACCAGCATAAAATCAACCTGTCACTTCAAAAATTCCAAAGATAACAGTTATTAACGCTTGAAGCATTGACAAATGTAACCAAAAGAAAGAAATAAGTTTCATTCAAATCAAAAGATAGTGACAATAACACTCAAAATAGTGTAAAGGTGCATTGAAAGAAAGCAAAGAAAGGGTCAAGTCCAGAAGAGTTTCTTATAAATCAAGTATCAAGGAAAGCATGAGAATTTATTTGTGTTGCTTCCTTTTTTCACTTAGTCTGTATATTGCCTGAGAAGAAAATACTAAAAAAGATAGGAAAACCCTCTCCTAGGTTTCACTTACACACAGAAGTTCTAAAAAGTAGTTTTAACATGTAACCTCACAAACAAAATTGTTCAAATAAACCACGTTAAGATTGATTTAAATTAAAATTCAAAGTATTTGTTAAATCTTAATAGATTATTTAGAAGTATATATCATAAATAAAAAAGCCATTGAAATATGTTTATGGTCATTATTATTTGATAATAAGTGACTCACCATAGCAGCACCCCTGCCAGTCTGAGTGCTGCCAAGCCATGGCATATTGATTGGTGTTCCAGGAGTGCTGTGTGTATAAGGAGTAGTTCCTTGAATGTTTCCCAAGTCATCACGAGTATGTATAACTAAGAAGTCATCAGCTCTATAAAACAAAATGTTCAAATGACTGAATATTGGTCATGAATTATTACCTACAAATATCATATTCTATTCTAATTTAAAGATGCTTAGCTACCTATATCCATGAATTCTCACTTGATATCACATGAATTATTGGCACTAAGTTATCTGATTGGTGGCGCATTTGTACTTCAGATTTTCTTATGAGCTATAATACCTATATAGCCAATCAATGGATGGTTCAAGACATAGCCAGTTGAAGAGAAAAGAAATGCTGTCTGTCATTCAAAAGAAATGTTTTTAATAGCACAGTAAGTCAAATCTAGTTATCAGGAAGTTAGGTTTAGTAAGACAAAGAGAAAGATGTATAAGCTGAAGTTTACTAAAGAAAAGGACATAAGACTTAAAAAGTTTTACAAAAAAACTAGAAGATCGATCATTATTTATAAGTACTTCAACAGGATATCATTAAATGTTCAATGTTAAGTCAATGTTAAGAATATTGGCAAAAAAATAAAATAAAAAGAAATACCCTTTAGCTTCCACTTCTATATCATCATCAACCCAAGTGTAGATCTGAGTTGCTAAAATTCCAGAAACATCCAGTTCTTGAATTTCATGGCTTGAGGCTATTGCAATACAATTCCTATTGGCCTAAAATGCATAAATACATGTTTATTTCACATCATCTGTCTATTGTCCCAATATGTATACCCAGACTCTAGGCAATGAACAAGGCATAAAATCAAGAATCAACTAAGGTAAAAGGACAAAAGATTTATATGATATGAAGAGAAACCAGAGAATCAACTAAGGTATATTCAAAGCAGAATTATACAAAGCTACAGCAGGAACACAATCAACTTTGTCTAAAGGCACATTTGAACATTTTAAACAGTGTTACAAAATATTGCAAAGGATGGAACCAAATACATTGGAGAAACACATTATCTTTTCTACTCCTGAAAAGGCCTATCACCTAACATTAAAGAGAGAATGGGCTCAGCAAGAATGGCAGATTAAATTTCAACAAGACAATTCCCGATATATGCTTATTCCTGTACTATATAGGGCTTTTAAGTAACTACCAGCAATTTGAAGAGACACACAAGACTATTATCAACCTATGCAACTTTAAATTGACATTATTCTGTAATGGTGAGATTGTCACATCAGCAGTTTTTTTATAATATAATACATTATAAATATAATATTTAACATAAGTAATAATCTGAAATTAAAATAAGGCTGCATAGCTGAGGTTCCTGAACTGTCTCCAAGGCGACATGAGATATGGATATGGTTACAAAGAAAATTGTAACAACAGAGGGAAAGACGACACTGCTACTCGGAGGCTGGAAGTTTGTGTATTGGAAACAATTCCCTTTTACTTTCCTCACTGATTATTCTGGCTTTGCCCTTCAAG